GGGAAAGAATGAAATACATCACAAGGTTGACTGTCCGTTCTGAAACCTCTCGGAACCAACAGCAAGGGAAGGAAGAGCTACTTAAGGGGAGCTCCCATCTTTCTGAGTAGCAGAGACATTTTTGGTTGCAAATTTTAGGGATATATCCACATCAATAATTGCTCAGGGAGAACCTTCCAATCCCCCAGATGTGGCCAGGATGCCAGTGCTTATACTTCTAAACATCATATATTTCCTCTTTCTTAAAAGATTTAATATTATTTGTTCAATGTATGCCTTCCTTCTTGGAGCTGGAACTCTTGGGCCAAGGACCATTCCTATACTGCCTTCAATAAACATAAAGGCTAACATTTAGCAATTTCGTGGCTTTCAATACTTCAAAAGCTAAGTTAGATTTTCCTTCATAATCCCAGAGGTAAGTAAACCTAATCTATTCTGGATTTCTTCCCCTCACCCAACATGTCTTAGATTCTGACCAGATAATGTGTGTAGGTGTAGCCTGACTTGATCCTATCTCAAAAAACAAAGCTATAACCAGCATCATTGGTCCGGGGCTTGTTGCATTTTTCCTTCCTTTTGGCACTAAGTGTCCCTTGGATACCCAATAAAATACTCACCAGTAATAAAATCAACCTTCAGTTATTTAGCAGTTGGTCATTCAGATGCCCTGCTTCTCATTTTCTTCTTTTCCTAACTTTTGGGCTTCTCACTGGCACACATGCTATCAAAGGCTGGCCAGAATAAGGGGGCTAGCTCTGATGAGTGGACTTTGTGATTAGCTAGAAACTCCAAAAAAAGCACATAAAGTTGGTAGATGGTTGAAACCCTAAAAGTTCGGAGAATTTTTCTGATGATATCAATTATTCTTAGTAGGACCCAGAAAAGGTAGTTTGTGCAGTCAATAACCAGAGTTACTAACCTATCATTATGTTACCATTTTTGTTTTTCCATTTTCTAGGTGGTAATATTATCTAGTTCTCCGCTTACCCAATCTGTGAATTAGGACATTTTATTTCATCTCTCTGAGCCGCGTTTCATCATCAATAAAACAGAAACAGTAACCAAACAGGTTTGTTCTGACCCAAGCATTAATTCCAAGAATGAAATAATGTATGAAAGTTCTTTGTAAATGTGGAGGACCATTCGCATTTTATATCATTACCAACATTAATTGTTTGCTCACGGTTTAAGTTTTCCATTAGAATGCCAATTTGTCTTCTCAAAAGCAGAGGTGTTTCACATGGGTTACTGTGATGGATAAAATTCAGGATTTTGGCACACTTGGCCAGCATGCATGCCAAATTCCATATCAGTGCTTACCTTGGGAGGTTTCCTGAATGATGGAAACAAAAGATTCGGCAGCAGAAGTAGAGAGGTTGTCAACACAGCAGCCACACGTCAGAAGGAAGCAATGAAAGAGAAAAAAACAAGGGAAACTCAGCATCTTGATTACGTGACCTGAAAGATATTCTACTTCGCAAAGATCTGGAGCCATATTCACTTCACTGCCTGAGGTGATAAACTTTTATATTTGTTCAAAAATATAGTGCAGGTGTCAGTTTCTTTCCTGGTTTAATAGAATGTATCCAGTCATTAAGAGGTATTTTTAATGATTCTAAAAAAGCCAACAAAAAGAGCATCAGCATAAAGAAAGATGCTGCAATCATACTGCATGTGGTCAAATACTTTAAAATCAATTTTCACATCTAAATTTTTCTTAAATTCGCCTTAATATATATGTATATTTCCTTTGAAAAATAATCAATATGGGATTTTTTTCCCAATTAAAAACCATGGTTTAGATGACAATTTTCACATATTTCAACCCTGAATAAAAATTTAAAAGCAAGTTACATCCTTCCTTATCACCAACAACACACGCATTTTTTTATCATTCTTTTTTTTTTTTTTTTTTTTTTCTGCGTTGGGTCTTCGTTGTTGGGGTCTTTGTTGCTGCGCACGGGCTTTCTTTTTTTGTGGTATGCGGGCCTCTCACTGCTGTGGCCTCTCCCGTTGCAGAGCACAGGCACCGGACGCGCAGGCTCAGCGGCCATGGCTCACGGGCCCAGCCGCTCCGCGGCATGTGGGATACTCCTGGACCGTGGCACGAACCCGTGTCCCCTGCATCGGCAGGCGGACTCTCAACCACTGCGTCACCAGGGAAGCCCTATCATTCATTTTTTGCATTCAAAAATGACTGAAACTGCATCCAGAAAAAACTCGGAAAAGGAAATAGTTTTCAAAGTAACAAACCATTAGGCTTACTTGCTTTGTAAATGTTTTGATCGTATACAAAATTGAGCTGAATTATGATTTTTATGGTATGTGATCCTATCACAGGGTCTTGGCCTTCTTGATGTGGTTATTCTCAATCAACCTGCAATATCATCAATTCAGAAACTGCAAAATTACTGTTAAATAGAAATGGGGGAATTTTTCCAGTGGCTTTAATCCTTCTGCACAGGGAATAGAATCATGAGAATAAGAAATGGATTTTCCAGGGCAGAGGGCATGGAACCAAAAGGTACAGGCAAAACCAGCATGGTGCTCTTTCTCCATCATTGTGTCTAACACTCCCCACAGAACTTTGGGGGCCCCAAACAAAACCCAGAGCTCAGAATCAAGGAAAGAAACCCCATGGATTCCACAATCAGGTAGGTAACTCTAACCTTTAAATCTAGGGAAAG